TGATAGCAGTATCTAGAATAGCTGCTAACTTTGAGGGATGGTTCGAAACAGTGCATTTCGGGGCAGAACTTTTTGCAACCAGCAAGATGAATACCATATCAGCGAAAGAATCCTTCATAACCCTCACAGTCGTACGAAGTTAAATATGAGTAAGCTCAGGCACTTCAAGGAAGGATTAAAAAGATTTGGTACAAGCACATCAAAAATCTCTAACCCTACTTCAGAACTTGCCACTGAGGTCGATTTCAAGGCTGAGGACAGAAAACAATGGCGTTAACTGCCCCTGCGAATTTAAAGGAGATGCGGGTTCTGAAAATGGATGGATCAGTGAATGTCAGACCCTCATGCATGATGAGTCAAAAACGCCTCATCAACAACAATTCGTAAGACTTTATTCCACGCGCGGCCGTAACCTAACTCAGTGAATAACTCCTCACTTATTCATTAATAAATTTCCGGTAGCAGAACCCCGTGTCTGGCTACGGCTGGCTATGTAGTGAGACTGCCAAGGGAGGTTCCTGCAGTGCCCTTTGCCGTGGCGTTTCGCATGAAAGCGACAGATTGCTCACGAAAATCCACTGAGTCAAGGAGTCCTTCAGCTTCAAAGGCTTAACCGTTCTTTTGCTTAACGACTGCAATTTCGATCACGATCAAGATTGATGACGATGATGTTCTTGTCATCGTTATTTTAGGCCAACTAAACTTAAACAGAAGAGTAACCCAGATTTATGTCTGACCTTTAAACATGATATTTGAGACTAATTATAGACAACGCTCACTTCTGATGCAAACATTATGCAGGTCGCTCGCCCTTAACGAAATTTCTCCATTTTTGCATTCACCCCCAACGCGTCGGTGGTCCATAAACGACTCCAGGTGATCATGGCTTTGAGTACATCTCCTACCTTCCCTTTTTTGGAAGATTAATCAGGCCAAGCCAAGCGCAATCTGACAGTTTTCTCAGACTGGCGGTCGTCAGCATTTACTCATTCACAGCCCGGCGTCACCGCCGCATTTTGAATATACTTCGCACACACCATTGCTTAAAGTTATCTAAACGAGTTTTATAACGCTTCAGGAAAACAGACGTTTCAAAAAAGTACATAAGCATAAGGAATAAAGTTGCTTTCAGAATAGCGACCTTGCGAAATTCGCAAATGCCAGTCCTATGCACT